ACCCAGCAGCGGCTCTGCCGCCGAGCGCCGGCCGATCCCCGCACGGAAGGGAAGGTGCAGTCGCGGAGCTCTCACCTTTAAGAACTGCGGCGTGACAAGACGAACAGTTGCTACGAGGCAAATCTGCTCCTCCGTGGCCGACCTGAAAGCTCGTGCAATAGCTGACTCAAAGCCATTACAGGAGGGTGTAGGCACTAGACAAACCAAACAATTTATTTAAGAAGAAGAGGAAGGAGAGCTTTCTTTTCATGTTAAGACAGGTACAATGACTGATGAAACCCAAGCAGCAAACCCCTCCTACCCACAAGGCGATGCCACGCTGATACACGCAGATGTTATTTAAAGCACGACCCTTCAGGCTCCCAGTTACACAGCGGTAACCGCCTACCCCTGGTTTGCAGGGACGCTTCATGAGGCAGCTCCGAGCAGCTCAGTGTGCAGCTACCGTCTCCCTGTCAGCCTTTCTCCAGCTCAACGTTTGCAAGAGTCGAGATTTTACAGGTTTCTCAAATTATTCCGTCTTTTAAAAGCGTCGTTTGATCGCCACAAGTGAAACAGAATAGCGTACATTGCTGGTCACTTGAATAAGCAGGCTGCTTTACAATCGGCAGCGGGTCAAATGGCGGTAGGATCGGGCTGGTACCACTTCTTTAAGCGGAGCATGCAGAAGACTGCACTCTTCTGAACAGCTTCCCCACCACTTTTAATGAAAAAATCTCCAACATATCCACAGCTCATTCCACCCCTGCCAATTACGGGGCATTTTCAGCTGAAACAAGGCCTTTAGGAGGAGTACAGATCACCACACAACTTAAAGGAGAGACAGAGAGAGGCAAAGATAGGCAGGAGCAGTAACTTACCGTGAGTAAAATATTTAAAATCCACTACGAATTTCACATATTCATACATCAGGGGTTCATTTGGATCTAAGCTGCTTCTTGCTAAATGGCAGCAAAACTCTATTTGCTTTTCCGCTGAAATGAGAGAAAGAGAGGGAAACGTTCCCAACGTTACGGGAAGCCTGCACTTCAGCACACCCCACGTACCGAATCATCTACCAGCCCTGCTGCCGCGGCATCTGAGCACACGCTGCTGGGATGCTCTTGATACCCCTAAGTAAATACATAACCACCAGCAGCAACGATCAGCTGGTCCTGCTTAAGGAAAAGAATTCTCACCCTTTCCCCCACGGCTTTACAGCCACCCCGCTACGTGGGGCACGCACGAAGCCCTGGCAATGCTGGTCACCGGCGTTTCCCCTGCACGATGTCATGCGAAGCTACGAAGGGGTATTGCACTACGCTGCTCCAGCACTGCTCAGTCGGACCCAGATCCAAAGGGCACTGAAGTCACCCCAAGCCTGTCTGGCGGAGGGCCCCGTGCCAAGCTCTTATTCAGCTTTCTGCCCGAGGTCTGAACTCCATGGATTAGACCACGCGATCTCCAGCCGAAGGAAACCAACCCCGGTGCAGAGCACCAGCACGAGGGCTGCGCAGTTCCCACTGACGCTTACGGGCAGCGGAGAGGGGAGGCTACCACTGCCCGGCCACGGCAAACCCACCGGGAAAGGGGGCTCCCAACACAGGCTTCGTGAAACAAGGATGTTAGGAAGACGCTGCCGCCCGCTCTGGTGCTGGGGATGTTTTCTGGGGGAAAGGGACATTTTGGGGGTGTGACAGCAGCCAGCGGTAGAGATCCAGATGGACTGTTCAGATAGGAAGGCTGTTGCTTAAAGTCCATGTAGGGTTTCTCAGGTGTCCTGAGACATGCAAGCTTCCTAACAAAGACTCTGCCAAAACCCTTGGGGATTTCTCCTACCCCTTTCCTTCCCCCAAGCCCCTCACTCCTTTCACAGGCTCAGTCCGGCATCCCGCCCTGGGAAAACTATCTAATAAGGGCAACTTCACCGTCCTATGATGCAAAGCAGACAGTAAAAAAAAAGACTGCCCAAATCAAAGACCAAGGACTGGGAGCATGTAGGAACATTAGATAATGTGCTGCATTAAAAACCAGAAATATTAACCATGACAAAACAGAAGTGGCAGGCAGGAGAATTAAATAGCTGGAGAGCCCTGTGCGGGCTCCTCCGGGAGCTGTTTGCCGTCGGCTAATTTCCCTGACGGACAGACAAGAGCAGAGCTTACCGTTTAGAAAATCAGCTGCAACAGGATCTGTCATGAGCACGTGTGGAGAAAGGAGCTTGTACACCTCGCTCTGCTCCCGCTCAGGCAGAAAGTTTAATATATTTTGGTCCACCAAATCTGACTGATACAAAAGAATGTTTTATCATGTTCAGCAGTACAGCCTGACACAACCACATGCCTTTTCATCCCACAGCGGAGCACAGACGCTGCCGATCCAGCGCAGATGCTTAATACAAGGAAGCCCAGTCAATCTGCAGATGTATCTAGGGCAGAATATAACCCTTAGGTTATTTTACCCCAGGGTCACTACCTATTTGCAAAAGGTTGAACAGGACCCAGAGGCTGCCCTTCAGTTCAGCCAGATGCAAGCTGGAGAAGAAACCCTGGTACCACAGGAATACAACAGGATGTGAAATATCATCTCAAAATGAAAATTTGAAGTATTTCCCTTTGGAAGCATGAGACAGAAGTGGGAGAGCTCCTCCTCACATCCTCCATTTGTCTTCTAGACTGGACATCTGGCAAAGTCAGCTTGACCTGCAAGTGTTTCGGTGCTGATAAACCCATACCTCCTGACTAAAGGGGTTCTACCAAAATGTCAGCACGTATTTGTTTCTTTGCACACCAGAACATTCAGCCAGGTTAACTCTGTGCTCAAATTTGCCCTCACATAGTCACTGGTGCCTCATGCTTGGCGCCAGATAAAAGTAAAAAATGTTTTTGAGGGGCCAGCAGAAACTTCTGTACCCAACAGCTAACTGATGCCTAAAAATTCTCTCAGAAAACTCTGAGGCCACATACTTGTTACTAAAAATCATGGGCTCAAGGTAGAAAAAAATCAATGACATTAGAATGGCACACATTCAGTCCTGAAATGATCTTTAAATTATCTGAGAAGAGCTTCAGCATGCACAGATTTCACAAACACGAGATTTTCCATATACCTGGTGAGATAAACACCACCCAGACCCTCCTTCAGACACGCTGCCAAGCGGTGCACTGCAAGTACAGTGATTTTGCATAGGTTTTTTTTTAGCTAACTCACAGACCCTGACAGAGAATCTGTTATTCACAGGAGCTTGAGAAACTCCCTAAGAGTTTGTTGGTTTCTCCCCCACCTACAGTCAGTTGACTCTTTGGTTGGACAAAACCAAGCCCCAGCCCTGCAGTGACGGGGCTGCATTAAGGCAGGGGAATGATTCTTCAACACATTGCGTCGTCAGAACTTACCGGTAAGTGTCCAAGCAGAGACGAGACACTATCAGATACATAAATAATGATCCCATCAGTGGTAAGGGCAATGAGAAAGCCATCTAGTGCCTAAGGATAAAAGGCAGGCAAAAAGAAAAAAATAAAAAGAATTATGCAAAGGAACAACTTAAAATACAATAGGCTCATTTATTCTTTGGTGATGCTCCTAACAGCCTAAAACTAACATAAATCAATTATGGAAATCAATGCAGAAAAATAAAAATTATACATGGTAATTCAACATTCTTCTTATATTCTTATTTGCTCATTAATATTAAATTGACTTGTATTTTTCACCCAGTGAGTATTTATTTAACACGAAGCAAGACAGCGGTGGTTAAAATTTCTACACCCACACAATCCTGGTGACTTCAGTCACTTCATTATGTGTTCTGAATTACACAATGTTAATCAATTCAGTGCGTAAGGAGATGTTAGATAGCATCATGGCAAACCCAGCACTGTGGGTGGGTGGGTGGATGGATGGATAAGAAGGGACAGAAAAATTATACAACGTTGTGTTTTTAGCAATTTACGGACAATATGGACAAGGTCCAAAGCCTTATTTATTTTGCTTAAAGCACTCATTTATTAGGCTAGTGACACAACAGTATTACAGTTTGTTTTGTTTCCCCTTTGTTATTCACAACAGTTTCTGTCCCGGAGCCAAAGTTGTCTGTCCCTTTTAAGTCACTGCATGTGCCTTCCTCTTTGGGTGTTCACCCTGCTCTTCACAACATCTCTTCTTGTGCCATTGACCCAGTGTCTGTCCCTATTCTCCCCTAACACTTACCGAGGTCTGGGAGGTTTAATCTCTGGTCAGCACCTTGCACAAAGCCAACTCTCCTAAAGACACTGTTAGGCTGCCCTGCAGCTTAGCTACAGGGAGCCAAGGATTCACCATCTTCCCTCACAGCCAATTATTCCCCACCTCACTGTCATACTCTGCCTTTGCTGAAATAAGCCCTGGAAAAAAAACACTGATTTTAAGTAACCTGGTCAAGGGTCTAACATAGTCCAGCAAGCCAACAGTTATTAAAGGGCTCTCTCCCCGCTGCTACTTCTAAAGGGGGGAATTTGTTTTGATTCAGCTGGAACAAACCAGCTTGTTCGGTGAGAGAAATTCCCAGAAAGAATGAACAGACTTTTCCAGGGAGGTGAGTCATGACGTCCTGATGAAAAGGAGTAACTAAGATGCTGCAGCACCTCCCAGCTCAGCCCAGCATACACCCTTATTTTGGTGGGGCAAAGAGCAACAGCTGCCCACACAGGGTAGGAGATGTCCTTGCCAGGGGAACATGCAGCACAAAGCCAAAGCAGCATCCTTAAGAAAGGAAAAAAAGCAAGCTCATGGGGTGTTTCTAGGTCAGCTAAGCATTTTACAGGTGAGAGTATCAGAGCTGCTCTCCCGAATGCACTTAAAGGCAATTCAGGTAAAAGATAGAGCATTCACATCACACGTACAGCACCGCACAGCCGGCAGCAGCAAAGGCAGCAAAGTAAATGCTGCCTGGCTAATGGGATGTGGGAGGAAGAGAGCTGCTCTGTTTTTTTCAGGTCCTTTCAAGTTTTTGCTAAAACTGCTAGCTCTACCAGCTCTTCTGAGAAGGGAAATTCTTTTTCCTCTCTCACCAGGCCAAATTGGGCCAAACTGGTCTTCATTCCTAAATGAAAAGCTGTTTACCTTTAAGGGGAAGCAATCATACTTTTAATTCTGTGTCTGTGAAACATTTAGCACAACATTGGTCTCTGTCAGGTTTGGATTATATGTGCCAGCAGGGTCGAAATCATTAACATTAACATTGGGACCTACAGGTGAAAAGGAACTGTATCTCTGAACTACTCCACTGAGCTGATTACTTCTCCCTAACCTATGCAGCTTATTTTCTTCTTACCTCTAACATCAACTGGGTGAACTCCTCGTTGCTAAGAAATGAAGGCTTCCAGTCTTGTCTGATCTCACAGGCTTCTGTCTGTGCTGTGATTTCTTAAAGAGAAAACATCAAAAAAGCAACATGACTCATGCTGGAATTTTTTTTCATTTCTAAGTACCACTAGATTTCTTTTAAGAGGCTTTCGGAAGAATTATCCTCAGATCATTCTCCACACAAACCTTTGTTGTGGAGTCATTTTCCACACCATCATGATACAAATGCATTAGAAATCAAGAAAGGGAAGGGGAGACATTTTGGGTGGTCTGAAGAAATCCTTCAAAATTAAGGTCAATGGGCTAATTTCAGAGTAGCTGAGCATCACCATGAGCAGAGGGTGTCTGCAACGCTCCAGCTCTTTCAGGAAGCCTCACGGGAGTGCCCAGGCGGCAGGACAGGCTGCACCCAGCCATCTCCTACCCCAGGAGACCTGGGAACAGGGCACAGAAAGCCCCTTCCCCCCGCTTTTGTAGTGCGTGCTGTTCCTCAGCTCTTCCTCCCTCGTGCTGTGTCTGAGAGCGTACAAAGCGTGCCGGGGGATGTGGAGGCCAGTGAGGGGAATGGAGCCATGTCACTACATTAAGAAGCATACAGCACTGCATCTTTTCAAGTATATCTGTGTTTAACTGGGCAGCCCTGTGTTCAAACCTAGCCCATTTCCTGAGGCCAACCGCTATGCCTTATTCTGCCCCTCACTTAGCTTCACGTCCTCTCTGGAGGTCTTAGATGCTTGGAAAAAATCGGTTTCATCTTCTCAGTGGAAGCTGGCTGCTGGGCAGATGCAGAGCCAGTGCCTTCAACGGGAGCGTGCCACGGCTCTCCAGTACCTTTCTGTTTCTGTAAGAAGTCGATGGTCCTTTGCAGTATTGTGGACTTGTCCATCTTGAGAGGGTGGCCGTGGCCCTGCAGCATCGTGCAAAGCTCTTTAATGAGGACATTGAACTGGTCTCTCCTCTTCTTTTCAGATTTGTTGCGTGATGCCCTGGGTGACAGAAACATAAATGCCGCTAAGTAAAATGAAGGACCTACAGCTTGACTCGTGGAGAGGTAAATGGTCCTGCCTCAGCAAAACATTTTATATACAAGAATCTAAACTCTGCTGGGACTGCTCATTTGTTTAAAATTAGTCTCGAGCGTACGCGTAAGCACCTTGCTGGTGCTTAGAGCCTTGCAGGACTGAGCTCACCGTCAGCGAGGAGCGCCTGGAGGTAACTAACATGATTTACATTCATTTGAGCAAGACTGTATCCTTACGTACATTTCTGTGGCGGTCCCCTTTGTTTCAAAAGCCGTGATAACGAGGTGAAGGTGTTATGGGCAAAATTTCTCCTGTAAGAGAAGTCCTGGCATTTCCATGCTCATGCTTCGCTCACCTCATTTTTATGAACTTCTGTTTTGCAGTTAGTACACACACATATAAAGGTCAAAATGCAAAGGATTCCTTATTCCCTGACTTGTACTTGCGAAAGCAGCTTATAGACAGACAATACTGTGCAGGGACAATTCAAATGCAGAACGAATTCAAGCACAACCTCTTGTAGCTGGTTTTGAAAATCTGCTGCCGTGATATATGAAACTGGGGAAGTTAAGAGTCTGGTTGCAGAAACCACAGACAAGTTTCCATCTTGCATTAATACAATTTAAGAATGTTTTATTAGGGTTTTCCCCTCCATTAAAAACAATAAAGGAGAAAGCAAATCCATTCAGTTTCTTCCAAAATGTTCTTTCCAATGCTCGTATCTGAGATAATCCTGTTTTCATACAACCTCTTCCAGCAGTAATTAATTTTCTTTACGAGTGTATTCATGATGATACACGCTTACTGGGATCTACACCGAATGCGTATGCAGAAGGCATTTCCATTCATATTCAGGTTGGCATTTGGAGGTTCTCAGATCCAGCACTTACGTCCACAGACACCTCTGGTTTGGCGCTGGTGTACGATGACTGATCAGAACTGAGCCAAATGCTTCTCTGAAGGGAGACTAACTTAAGCCCGTGCTAAAGCAGGACTGCCCTCTGAGCTGCCCCGGGGGGCAGCACTGGATGATGTCAGTAAAATCACAGGTCGGGAGCCCTGCATCGAGACAACAAGTAGCCATGGGATAGCATGAGATTCTGAGGGCACGACATCATTTAAGGACCACTCAGCTGATTAACCCATCGTAGGGGTGGTCAAACACACTCTGAGAAGTTTGAAAATGGTGAGTTGGTTACGCTGTTTGTAGTCCGCTATACACAACCTGTAAACTGCATGGGGGTTTTGCCTCTGACATCAGTGGTCCCAAGTACTTTTTCAAGCATCTGACAACACAGCATTTACAATTCTCCCCTGAGAGAGCTTCCACTCTCAGTGCTCTGTGCATCCCTTCATACCTCTTTGCCCTGTCCTTCTCATCTTCATCCATCAGTTCGTTTACACAACACAGGGCTCTGGAAGGAAAAGACAGAAGTACTTACTGAGACGCATTCCCTGATCTTGTTGAGGATGGCAGAATATGGAGCTTACTGGTTTGTACTTTATGACCTCATGGATGTTTCAATCTTCCCTTTCCCAAACTCCACTTTTGTTATGTAGTATCTTGCTTGTTCTGTCAGCTGCTGAGGCTTGAGAAGTGAAACCATTGCTATACACCCAAACACACAGCTGCAATAA